ACAGACAAAAACTCATTCTTGAAAGTGCAGCACTAAATGTGAGACCGAGTGATTACAGAATTGCTTTAAGGACTATGAACTTTACGCTTGATTGCCGTAAAATTCTTTGTTCAAAATTGAAGCATGGTCGTAAATGTGTTTTGGCAGCCAATCCAAGCGATACTATTTCTAATTATATTAAATCGTATTCCCATAGAAGTTGAAGCAATTATTTTTTCACATTGATATTAAGGTAAATTGATTGACACTAAGTGCACTAATAGCTAAACAATGGTGAATTAAATGATTGTGGACATTTCGCATTCCTAACATCAAACTTCACGGCCCACAACATGGTTTGATGAGAAAATTCTTGTCTCCCACATGCGCTGCTAACAGACCAGTCGGATTTGTTGATTACACTCAAACGTCAACTAAAAGGATGAGAAAACAGCATAATCGCTCGTGATATTAAGTAATTTACGTTTTCGAACGTAGCAGAAGCGCTTTAGAATAAATGAAATGGAACGCCACGAATAGTTTTCTTTCTGCGATTCTTATCCCTGGGAAGTATACAAATATGTGTGTTTCCATCCAAGTTTTGAAAAAATGTGTCATGTTACCAACTGATTCGATCGCAAGACGGTGTATGTGCTCAGACAAGCAATCTCATACAAATTTACATAGGTTGTTGCTCATTTGAAATTCAAACCCTTTTTCTTTTTATATTTATACTGACAAATAGGCTTGAAGATTCCACTTACTACTTTAGTAGGAAAATCCAACAAGGATGATACTATTGAGTTTCGATTTCCCATTTTGCCTAGTGATAAATGTAAACTTGAATGAGCGATAAACTTACGTCCACGTGGCGAACACTGAGCAACATTTACCCATACGGCAAAAGATGTCTATAAGCAGACAGTTGACTGCTGACTTCAAATTACCATGACCCCACTGTATGTCATATTCGACCACTTTCACAGTACTTACACTACCTCACCTTTTTCTGTCTGTCACTTTTACATCCTTGAATCACTTTTCCGTTCACCCTCCCCACATTTTGTCACTTTGTCTGTTCCTTCCCTCTGTGAAACCCGAAGTCAACAAATGGGCCAATAAATAACTATTATAAAGCCAGTCATTTAATATAAATCTAATTTATTAATTTAATTATTTTGAATGACAGGTGTTTTGATAGTTGTCATTAGCCTTTTAGCTGACTTCGGGCTTCACAGAGGGGTGGANACTGGAGTTCGGTTGGCACTGGATATTTATTTATTTCAAATGGCAGGCGTTTTGATAGATATTATTAGCCATTTAGCTGACTTCGGGTTTCATAGAGGGAAGGTTCATCAAAGTAGCAGAAAGTCGAGGGGTGGGGATCAGAAGAGCGATTCATAGATGTAAAAGAGGCGGACAGACACAAAGGTAGAGAAAAAGGTAAGATGAGTACTGTGAAAGGGGTCGAATATGACATACAGTGGGGTGATGGCAGTTTGAAGTCAGAAGTCAACTGCCAGTTAATAGACTTTTTTGCCGTATGAGTATACGTTGCCCAGGATGCACCACGTGGAGGTAAGTCTATCGCACACCCCTGGCACGGGATATTTACTTCTGCCATTAATTAATTAAGCTACGTTTGATTTAGTAGACCACCATTTTAAATAAATTGGTTGTATGAACAATGGCCAAATTGTTCTAACGCATATATAATGGTGTTGTCTGTCTCAACACTTTAATCTGAGATTATTCTTGCACAAAGAAACTTTGGTTCATCACAGTATGACTTTAGGCGTCTCACTTAATAAATTTCAACTTTATTCATTTTGACATGGGTGATACTAAGTTAAGAATTATTTATGAATTGAAAGAGTGGTTGATTAGTTAACATTGAAATACATGGTGAAAAACAAGTTCAATTCATGCTGGGAAAATGTGAGTGGATCACATATGGAACGGATGCAACACCCTCCAATTTCTGCACTTTTCAGACCAATGGGAAAAGATTGTTTTAAAGGGGAAAGTCCCATGGCTACCAGGGGTCCTTCAATACTATACTTATTCAAATAGATAAGTTTATACGGAATCTATTTTGCTTTCATTGAAATTGTCGCAGACTTTCATGAACCGACCCCTGGATTTTAGGGGGAGTTTCCGTTTGCGGAATTCCAAGTTTATTAACCTGTCGGCTTCATTGAATGATTGGTGAAGGCACGTTGTGTCTGGTTTCACATTTGAAAAGTTGGGTGAGATTAGTAGGAACATTTTGGACACATTAGAGTTCACTCAAATAGTTGCTATACTCTATTTCATTTTAATAATTCTGAAGGTAAATAGATTGTCTACTTGACGAGGATACGCAGAATAAATTTTTAAAGAATTTGACGAATGCCTTGCTAAACAGTAATTTTTACCCCGTTTCAGTCAATTTCAATTCCAATAAATATTCGAGGTTTCTGTAATCAGACTTCTGAATGTAGTATTCATGGAAAAGTTGGATCGGCATTAAAATTCACACCTAGATCAAGTCTGTTTTCACCTCCACTTAATAGGCTTCATGGCCTTTGGTCTCATTGAATTTTGCAAAATATGCAATTCAAAAAATATAATTCTGAATCACCTGATTGCCTTCAACTTCTAAAGTGCACCCTCCCAGAAGAAAATAAATTTTATATCAACATAAAGCGTCCTGATGTGCATGAACACCATTTTAAACTTAAATGCGAGAACATGGCCGAATTTGCCTGTTTACGACGTGGATCACGCATAAACAATACGATACTGAAGGAATGACCTTGAATCAACCAATAATCGCACTACAAATGAAGGCCACTGCAGACGGCCGTGGGGAAAAATTCACCAAATTTTTCCTAATCAGGTAAACAGCACACGGACAAGTCAATATCCCCGATTTTGACCGTTTATTTCAAGGTCTATTTATTTATATTTAATTTATTTGTATATTTTTTATTTGTAAAATAAGATCTCGTAGAACATTGCCATTTGATGTTTCATTTTTATAGTCAAATAAATTGTTATATTGGTGGTTAAAATTAGCTCATTATTAACCCTAGATACCAATTAAATACAGTGTACTAGCTGCTATTGATTAAGACGGGAGAATTGAGAAGTCCAGTGATAGAGAGGAAGCATTTTATCTAATAGGAATATAATGTTGGCCAATGATGCAACATTAAACGAGATTTCGAACACAGGTGAGGGTATGGAGAATGAATAATCAATAAGTTATTTCATGATAGGTACAAAGTAAGTGTTTACGTTCAGGTGCATGGGCCTATTAAATTTTGGCAGCCCTGGTACTCTTCGTATTTGTTGGAATTGCCAGGTTATCCATCGGTTTCAATGGTCCTAATTATCCTTTCAAATGGTAAAATATAACGAAATCAAAATTATATGTTCTTAAAATATTGCTTACACAATTTTGACAAAGATTTGTTAATCGAAATGTAAAGGAATGGTGGTATTGAGAGTTTAAGTAGTTTCGCTTTCCAAAAATATCGATTTTTTGCGGCTGTAGGAGAACTTCCCCCCCCCCCCCTCAAAGCAAATCATCCCAGAGCAGTAAAAATCAATATTGTTCCAAAACGGTGGTCGGATGTTCAAGTTATGAAAACTTTTACTATTTGAAACAGTTTCAAAAGAAGTGTGTGCTAATTCATATTTGCAGAGAGATAGATTTGCACAATTCTTGGAAAATGAGCTCAGTAACGATCAAACAACAATTCCAAATTCTCAGTTTCATTTTCAATTCCATTCATCAGTAATGATGAATTATAAAATCTATACTCACGATTATTCTTAATACTAAAACGTCAATTAGGTTGTACAATTTGTAAAACGACACTTTTTTCAGTTTCAAGCGCTCTTTTTTTCTATTACAACAAATTTAGCCTCATGAGATTGGCCATGTGATAGTTGATGGGCCACATAGTTAGTCAACAATTAGACCATTTGGCACTTCACTGGTGGACGACGATAATTCAATAAAAAATTATTCAGATCACAAAAATATGATTTTTTCGAGTATTTTTCGGGTGCAGAGAAGCTATTTGATAAGGGTCTTTAACATTAGTTTATTCTATCATCAATGTATGGGGTGTGCGATAGACTTACCTCCACGTGGTGCACCCTGGGCAACGTATACTCATGCGGCAAAAAAAGTCTATAAACCGACAGTTGACTTCTGAGTTCAAGCTATCATGACCCCACCGTATGTCATATTCGACCGCTTTCATAGTACTCACCTCACCTTTCACCTTTCATCTACCTTTTTGTCTCTCTCTTTTACATCTTTAAAACACTCTTCATGTTCCCCCCACCTGTCGACTTTTTCGATTTGATGTTCCTTCCTCCATATGAAGCCTGAAATCAACTAAAGGGATAATGATAACTAACATAAAGCTTGCCATTTGATATAAATAAATCATCAGTGTATGCCCATAGTTGACATAATAGAAATTAAAGTTTTTTTCTATTATGTTATTACTTTGATTAAAAATAAAAAAAATTATTGGTTTGTCATTTCCATGTTTGCTAAAACAACTTCCACGAATCATCAGGATAACCATGACTTTAACAAACTGGATTGGTTTAACAAATGCTGTAAATTGAATTTGTTTACACGCATTTATGAATCTGGACCACCTCTTAATGAAATTTGCTGTCCAAGCATCAATTAAGCCAATCTACCAATTCGCGGTTCTCGAAATATGCATCTGGCTCAGCGAAGTTCACAGAAAGTTCTCTGGTGATTAGTTCCTTTGATGTAATCATCCCATGATCCTTTATACAGTCACACACCTTAGCTAATGTCTTTGATAACAAATAATGCGATGTCCAGATATACCATCTGTGCTAATCTATCCTCATTTATCTCAAAAATTCGTTATTTTATCAAATTTTTATAACCATAGGAATATAAAATTATAAATTACACAAAGGTCACGAACAAAGTTAGAGCAATATCAAAGCGCTCATTTATGAGAAACTGTAAAAAGTCAGTCAAAACTCTTATTATCAGCCAGGTTGAGTCGATGAAGGCCCTTAGCTCGAGGAAGAGCACACTTGGAAGGAAGATTGACAGTGTCAACAATGGTGGTGATTGGGTCTGAGTTTGGATTCATTGCTTGAGCGATAGTTGTCAAAGTAACTTCTAGTCGGCGATGTTGCAGGTGGTAGGCTTGGAGAAGGTCCGCACAAAGTATCTGTATACCATCATCCTATAATTGGGGAGATAGACGTAAAACAACGCTGTACTTAGAACAATAGTTAATATTTATCTTTACCACGACAAGGGTCTAGGATCATACTTCAACTGGTGTACGCCCAATGGTCAGAATAACCAAGCACACTGGCAGCATCGCGTTTTGTCTCGAGGTCTGCAGGAGATTATCCAAAATTGCAAAATGTCAGCATTGTCACAAATTGTGCTGTTTGTTTCATGCTTTGATACATATAGTACACCAGGCGCGTAGACAGTGTCTGATGAAAATGGAGCTGAGTCATCACTGAGTCTCGACATAGTTACACACTTTTTTGACAGTGGAGGAGAATTTTCAATCTCGACGTTTAAGGTTTCAGGCCTTGTCTGGATGCAAAGTCGAGAAAATCTCCGTTCCTTATAGACAAAATTAAATTTCAAATGGAGGAGATCAGACGAGATCACTCCCCTGACCGTTGCTTCAAACGCTGCAGAAGACATTGGTAAAGATTCAAGATGAATTAGAAATTCGATTTTAAGAAATAAAAAAACCCTTCGAGGAGTGTTGGGTATAAATGAATAAATTGGTCAATAAATTATGAAGTTTCCTTGATACGCTTGACTTTGGGTGACTAACTGAATTTTGCTAAGTCTCGCGCTACTATTGTGTTCGGGGAATTTCGGCTATTTTGGAGTAAAATCTGTTTATTACACTTCACTACAAAGACAACAAATGTTCAGTTTTAGTAGTTTACTTAAATTTTACTAGTAGCATAAATTGCGCCTTCATCACAGTGAAGTCATAAAAGATATACAATATTAGTAGTTTTGTATTCACAATTCTTTGTCACCTTTAAAGATTTCGCTTTTATTGCACTTAACTTGCTCTATCTGGTCGATGAATTCACGAGGTGTTAGTGAAGGAGTAATTACATTGACTTCAGAAGGAATAGCACTTTGACCTCTATTCAATCACTTTATAATTTGTCCAATCCACTTCATGCAGCTTTGAATATGTATTTAGTCAAGTTTTTCTCTATTTTGCCTTGATTCGGATTTCATGTTGAAAATCCCGTCAAAACAATTTCAATATAACAGCAATTACTATTTTCATCTTTTTAATTATTTAAAATGGCAGGCGCTTTGATAATTATCATAATCCCTTTAGCTGACTTTGGGCATCACAGAGTAAGACACATCAAATTTTGAAAAATTCGAGAGGAGGGACAAAAGAGTGATTCACAGATGTAAGAGAGTCAAACAGACAGACACAGAGGTAGAGAAAAGGTAAGATGAGTACTGTGTGTGGTGTAAAATGATAGTAGTTAGAAGTCAGAAGTCAACTGCCGATTAATGGACTTTTTTGTACGTTGCCCATGATGCACCACGTGGAGGTAAGTCTATCGCACACTCCTATTTTCATCTTATTTTTTGTTCTCACCTTTAGCCATTTTATTAGAATTTGTAATTCTAACGTCCCTCACTGCTCCATTATTATGAAATAAACGGATGGAGATTGCTCTAGTTATTCATTAAGGTTTATTTAATATCTTCAAATGCTCCAACGAAAGGATATTTATGGGGGTGGGGAGAGGGGTGAGTGGGACTTCAAGAAGCCTATTCGTATTGTCGTACTCTCCATTCCAGACTCAATATCACTCGTTTTACGGGGTGTGCGATAGACTTACCTCCACGTGATGCACCCTGAGTAACGTATGCTCATACGGCAAAAAAAGTCTATTAACTGGCAGTTGACTTCTCACTTCAAACTACCATCACCCCACTGTATGTCAAATTCGACTAATTTCACAGTACTCACCTCACCTTTTTTCTACCTTTGTGTCTGTCTGTCTCTTTTACAACTTTGAAACACTCTTCTGTCCCCCCTCCACTCTCTTGACTTTTTTCACTTTGATGTTCCTTCCCCTCTGTGAAGCCTGAAGTCAACTAAGTGGCTAATGATAATTATCAAAAATCCTGCCATTTGATATAACTAAATAAATTTCTCGTTTTAACCCGTAGGATTCAGTTTTAATAAATTAGAATCCTCTTCTGGAATTGAGGGAACTCAAGGTGGCCAAAACATACAATAAACCTAAAATATTTAACATCAAGGCGTCGGAATATATTTCCCTTGAAGTCGTCGAGACATTCACTCTAATTATAACAAGTAATCGAATATTTAAATTTCCCTCGTCTCATAAACACCAATGTCTCAAATGGAATTGGCCATGTTTGTCTAACATATGACCTCGTTTGGAGCACTGGATGCAGTTAAATACTTGAAGTATCTTCTGCTATCGGATTCACGAATAAAGGAATACCTTTAAAGTGTGTCAAGAAAAATTCATTTTAAAAATATGGTTTCTAATGTGCTAAACGGATATCAGTTGCAGTTTGCTTTGCAAGGATTGGAAATTTTAAGGTAGGCTTATTTCAACTAATTCACGGAGGGAAATACGCTAAAGCGGATGTATTGTTACGACCAAGCCAATGTTTCTCTTTTAACAGTGAATATCTTTTATTAAATCAATCAAATAAATAAAATAAAATAAAATGGATATATAGATATATATCTAAATAAATCAGCCCCTTTTCTCAACTTAATTTACCCTTGTTATCAGCGTAAATAAATATAAATGCGCTTTATTGTTTAAATAAAATAAAAATATTTGAAATGTTTTATTTTGATAATATTTTAAGTATTTTGGCAAAAGTCAATATTTGTTTGAATTCGTCATAGGATTTCTATATTTCATTAACATATTTGGTTTCAAGGCTGTTGGGATCTTAATGCCTTTATATCTAAAATGAAACGAGCATGGATTCTAGTGCTTCTATCAGTTATAGTTATTTCCAATGGAATGACTGTCGATGAATTTTCAAGTGAACTTAAGAAATTAATAATGAATCAATGCTCCTACAAAACAATTGTTGAGGTAACCAACAATTCTAAGGGGAAACAGATTTCAGTATTCATAGCTTTCAGTAATTGTAATTTCTTCTTGGATTATTAGCTGTGAAACTTGCCATTTATTTTTAATTTTACTTTTTGATGGTCTGCATATAAACATTTACAGCGATTTTTTTCTAATTTAATGAATTTGCTATTTTTATTTTTTGACTTGATTTAGAGCAATTTTATTATTCTTGAAATAAATAAAATTTGTATTTTTCTTTGTAACAATGCTTCACATTTTTAAATTATAGAGCTTTCAGGATCTAATATATCGAGGCAAGATTACTATTACAAAATTGGACCCGCTGGTGAATGTGAAGGATTATGCCTCAAAGCTATATAAACTATTCCTAAGAAAGGCCGAAGCTCTTGATGTATGTTTTTTATTTTTGTGTTACTTCATATCTTAAAATATTTATCATCTGAAAATTAGATTTATTTCAATTAGATATTTTGTTATTTAAATTTTTAAATAATTCTACTGATTTTAAGCATGAGTGCTTATAAATATGGTGACTTAATTTTAAAAAAAACGTCGAAAGCTGTTCAATTCGATCTTGCCCACTTTTTCCAATGAAGTTCGTTGTGTTTTGGGCATTGGACATGGTGGCAACTATTATCGACCCGTGCTGTGTCTTCTGTAGCACCAAGCCTGTGTGTGTGCAAGCACGCACTCCCTTCTAGGCGCACACATCCGCACATTGCGCGTCCGCTTCGGGCGATAGATACGTGTGGCTTGTTTAACCTCCATATTTTCCTAGTAGCGCAAGGAGTATTTCGATTCACGTAATTTTATTTTCTTCACTGAATAATGGGGAGGCTTTCATACAATGATGACAATAGATTTTAAATGCCTAATTCTAAATTATCGTGTTATTGAAATTCTGAAATTTTCGCGAAGTGTCTTAGCGCTAATCATTTTCTTAAAATTCTTGAATTAATTCGGTAACATCTAGTAATGTTTTTAACAAATGCTCAATATGGATTATGTGATTTCCTTTCAGCCAATTGGATTATATTATTATTATTATAATTATTAAATTTTAATCTTCGTTGAACTCTTTCAAGGTTAACTTTACTAGGATCAGGTAAAATTGTCGTTCTTCCTTGGCATTGGAAGATAAATGAACTGAGGTGTCAGGACCGAGTAACCAAGTTAACCTACTTTTAAAATTGTCAAAATATTTATTTATTTATCTCAAATGGCAGGCATTTTGATAACTATCATTAGCCATTTAGCTGACTTCGGGCTTCACAGAGAGAAGGTTCATCAAAGTAGCAGAAAGTCGAGGAGTCGGAAACAGAATAGCGATTCGCAGATGCAAAAGAGATAGACAGAAACAAAGTTGGAGAAAAAGGTAAGGCGAGTACTGCGAAAGTGTTGGAATATAACGTACAGTGGGGTGTTGGTTATTTGAAGTCAAAAGTCAACTGTCAATTAATAGCCTTTTTTGCCGTATGGGTATACGTTGCCCAGGGTGCACCACGTGGAGGTAAGTCTATCGTACACCCCATTGTCAAACTAGACTTTGTACACTCAGGCTATTGAATTATCCGATGAGTGCTTAATGAATTTAAAGTCTACAAAGTGAATCACTGATTAAAGTCACCGACTGAAGTAAGACCCAGTTTATGCTTTCCATCTTCTTCCCATTGCCGCGAATTTGCATTCTGTTGCGCCTTTACAGATATGAATTAAAAACTTCAAAGTATTTCCTCTACCCTAGATAATGATGCTATAAAATCAGAACTGGAGTATTTATTTAATTATTTAATTTAGCGAATTAAACTTGTTTCAAGTCAGGAGTGGGAGAGAGAGTGTGTACCTATTTGGAGGTGATGTCGACCAACGAAAGCTCGTGTCTGTTCTATTTCAAAGAATTCACATTTGTTCAATTCATATACCAAAAAACCTTAAAAGTATTTATCACAAGTTTTGGCAGTTTTTCATCCATCTTTCAAGTGCAGCAATGTCAAATTTAAACCAAATTTAATGTTAACTGTCATATTTCGGTCTTTAGAAAGGTATTTAGCTTTCTCATCAACCTCTCAGCACTTAAAACTGAACGTCTTCATCTTAAAGTTAGTTTCTACGAAATGAACGCTAATTTACACCTTAGTGAATCCTTGACCAAGAAAGCATCATATGATGCATTCAGATTCGACTTATATAATTACTGTCGATACATCTATTTATTGGA